CGGCACGTGCAAGCTTGCTCAAAGCTTTGTTACGTAGTCGCTTGACCACCTTTACGTGATCGCCAAAACTGGCGAAGCTAGGCTTAGGCTTCACATAAAGCGTAGCATCCTTCTAGGCTGATTTCCGTGGCAGGGTCTTCAGTCGCCACTACAATTTTTCGATAATATCGATTATTATACATTAATTACTTATAGATTTATCTACATTTAAATATCTATAATATTTATAGTTTCTGAAAAATTAAGAATCCCTAGCTAGTTAAATATTATTTTTAAACCCCTTCCCTTTTTATACCCTTGCAGGGTATTATAATTTCAGTCAGAAGTTTGCAACGCAGTGAAGGAGGCACCTCCGACTATATAAAGTATATATATTCTTGATCAGGATCAACAGCCGAGTCGATCTAGCCATGTCCGTCTGTCCGTCTGTCCGTCTGTCCTTCTGTCCGTCTGTCCGTCTGTCCGTTTCTACGCAAACTAGTCTCTCAGTTTTAAAGCTATCTGAATGAAACTTTGTAGTTAGCCTTCTATATACTCTCACTCGTATATATGTCGGAACGGGCCGGATCGGACGACTATATCATATAGCTGCCATAGGAATGATCGTAAAATTTTTACAAAAAAATTTTTAACTTTTTCAGTTTTCAATAGAATTGGATCAAATTTAAGATATAGCCATTTTACTATACTCTACAATTTTGTGTAAAATTTTATGAAAATCGGACCAATATATCATATAGCTCCCATAGGAACGATCGAGAAATTAATACAATTAAATTTATAACTTTTTTAGTTTTCAGCTGATTTTCATCAAATTTAAGGTATATCTATTTTATATTAGTCTTAAATTTTTGTCAAATTTTATGAAAATCGAACGACTATATCTTATAGGTGCCATACAAACGATCGTTTGATGTAGAGGAAAAATGCAAATCTGTGAATGTAAAACTGCAAATATAATATGTATAGGTGAATGAAATGAAAGCAGGTATTATTATTCATTGTTTTTTAACACAAATATATATAATTTATATTGTATGGATTCCTATTCATAGAAGTTCTATCTGCAAGGGTATATAAACTTCGGCGTGCCGAAGTTAGCTTTCTTTCTTGTTTCCAAGTGCCTCCAGACAAGGCGAAGAATTGAAAGGACAGCTGAGCAGCTCAGAGCTTGCTTTTCCCTCGCTTCTCCCTGGCAGTCACTTTATCACGTTTCGAACTGGCTCCTTTTGCATGGCAAATCGCCTGCTGCATTATTACCCAGCCAGGAGAGGAGGACGAGGACGAGGACTCACTCACGTCGTTGTCCTGCTCGTTAGGCGGCAGTCATGGGCTCCACGAGGAGTCAGAGCAGTCAGTCACCGAGTCCCACAGCCAGTCAGTCAGTTAGTCAGTCAGTCAAGCGGCGGCAGTTGGGATAATTGCAAATAAACCACAAAGTTGCAAACATGTGGCTCACACACACAGCTCCCCAAACCCACACATAAATTTAGCAAAAAACGAAAAGAAAATAAAGTAAAGTTTTCTGGTTATCCTTGAGGGGGATTCCTTTTGGGTCCTGCCGCAGAAACGTTTTATTCTGCCCTGTGTTTTGTTATGTCTTATGCAAATGCGATGCCCCGCACACTTACTTGGTGCATTTGCAGGAAAATTTACTCCGTATAGGTTGATTTTTCCCCCGACTTCTGGTTCATCTCCTTGCCATTTTAACTTTCTTGGCCTGAGCTGTTTTTCTTCCTTACTTCCTTCCTTTCCTACTCTTTTTTTTGCGTTGATCCTTTGACATGTTAAACTTAATGCGCCATGCCCATGCCCCGTCGACTTTTCGTCCTTGTTCCCCATGCCCATCAAGCAAGTGTCTGCTTCTGTCTGACATGTCTCTCTTACTGCATTTTTCGGTGGTATTTTCCCCTCCCACACGCCACCCGCCTGCCGCTTTTTCCTGGGGTATTTATTTTGCCAATTTCCAGGGCAATTGCAGACTCCTGCGAATTTCCATGGCACACAAAGACGAGAGCGAGAGACAGGAGAGAGGGAGCTCATTGTGTAACCATTCGATTGGTGGAGGGAAGCAATCATTGCTTGCTTATTTGTCATTTTGTTAAGCATTTCTTTTGCATTTCCAATGAATGCAAAAGCTTATCAATGGCTCTATTTTTGCACAAAGAGAAAAAGGTTTTCAAAGTAAATACCGAGAATCGTTTGAGAACTAACAATGTATCGATAATAATGTCGACTAAAATAGAATTTGTACATAATATTGAAGAGTTAAAGGTGGTTAACTATGAAATCGATAGTTATCACCATTAATTTAAAGGTCTTGAAATATCTTAAAAGTCTTGAATATAATAAACTTACATATGCTCTAAATCTGGAAAAAATCTTTATAATATTAGTAACGCCTATAGTCTTGTAATTTTTTTAGCTGGAGCTGGCAAACCTTTGAATACACCATATTTGTATTTAAATTTATCATTTAAGAAGCTAACAAATTTATTATAAAAACAAATTCAAGCTTAAATGGGAATTTAAGTATAAAAATTAATATTTATCTGGTTAACACATTTCTTTCCCTTAACCAAATCACTTTCTATTGAATTTTCCACCAAACTTCAAACCCTTTATATGCATAAACCCAATCGAACCCACTTATTTATATGAGCAAGTCTTGTTTTGATTTCATATATGTATCTAAATACCCTTCCCCCTCAGTTGCCAACAAATGAGAGAAAACACAAGGATGCTGCATGCGCCAGCCAAAACAATGAAAACACAAATTGCCACAAATCAATTAGTATTCTGCAGTATTTAACCAATTACCATAAGCACTAAAAACAAAACAAAACAAAACCCAAAATCGAAAAAGAAAATCAATCTAGTATCTGTAATAGAGCTCTGCCTGTTTTTTATATATATGTGCCTAAGACATGTATCCAACAATATTTTATAATAGGCTATATCCAGCAAGGATACAAAAAATGCAACAAGAAAAAAAAAGCCCAATTTAAATGCAAAACTAATGAAAATATTTTCTCTTGCCTTTTCCATGCCACGACAATATAAAAACACGAATATATATTTCAAATATAAATATATATATAAATCGTTCTGCTGGATATCTCAACACACACACAGTCTGCGTACAATGGCCCGAAGGTAAGCGTTTCGTTCACATATTTTTTCGTCTTCAGCGTTTTATTGCTATTATTAAGTATTTATTGCCTGACGTACGTACTTTTGTTGTAAATTCTCAAATAATACACACAATTAAACACGCCCACACACACCCACAATAAACCAAAACACAAAATGCAGAGAAGCAATAAGGTATCATAAAATGTACAAATAATTGACCAGTTTTTGTTTTATATAAAATACATGTATTTTGTAAGAGTTTTATCGAACGAACTTTCTAGCTTGTAAGCCGAACAAAAAACAAAAAACATAAAACTAAACAAAGACCGAAAGCAAAACAAATATTTAGGCAGGGCTCAAATATTGATATTGATATTATGGATATGGAAACATATATAAGCCCATGGGTAGGCTCATCGCCGGGAGGATCCAAAAGAGACTCGTCCCAAAAAGTTCACCCCAAATGAAACCATTTTTGCAATTGCATTTGTTCGTTTTACTTACTTTTATTTTTTCGGTTGCAATCTGCAAACAAACATTTATAAAAAAATAATATGAAATATGAGCATTTCCTTTCGTTTCATAGAGATTATCTCATGTATTTAATTTATTTGTTTGGTAGGTCCCAACGGAAATTGCGTTAATCTATATAAACTATGCATACAATCTATATATGAATATAATGCTGCAACTATTTGATAACTGTTTGTAACTGTTCAACTATTTCCCCCTTATTTTTTTGATATTATATTATAATTTATTCGTTTTTCGTCTGCATTTAACCAAAGTTCAATTCAAAGTGAAAAATACCAAGCAAAAACAACAGAGTTTTGAATCATAAAAAGCCACATTAACACCCGCTCGAAAATCCCAAAAAATAAAGCAGGCTCTCGTCTGCTCGTTTTCTTTCTAGTCCTGATTTGACATTAATTAATTAATTAATTAATAATAATAATAATAATAATAATGATGATGATGACAATGGTGACTGAGAGATAATCTGGCGATCATTATAACGATGGTTATGAGTTTAGCATATTGCGGCTGTGTTGTCTTATGCATATACTACCTACTATATAACTTTATATATCAATTTATATGCCAACTATTTTATCTACATATCCTTTTCTTAACCAAGTTTCGTTGTATGTGCGTTCCCTTATGATTATGATTATGAATTATGAATTATGATTATGAATTTGAATTTCAATTTGAATTTGACTTTGATTATTGTGTATTTATTTGTTGTCCTTAGTTTTGTTATTACACGTTTTCCGTTTGGTCTGGTATTCCTTTGGTCTGAACATGTCTGAAATGCTCCTTAGCGTAAACTATTTATACTCGTACTCGTACTCGTAAATGTAACTGGTAACTCTCGCCGTCGCGCGTCAAGATCCAACCAAAAAAGTCTAACTTTTTAGCACTAGAAGTAAGCCTTGACGAAGGCAGTATAAGAAATAAGATGCATAATGCCAAAGGATTATTTGATATGAGAAAAAGTTGGAGAGCCAGTGTTTTATTTAAACGCTTTTAAATATATAAGAAAGTAAAACCTAGCAATTCAAATGTCCTGCGAGTTATGCATCTTATTCCTTGTATTTTCTTTGACCAACAACAACAAAAGCAACTGCAACAGCAACCTCATCATGCATCCCTCGAATATGTATATATATATAAACCAACCAACCTATATATATTTGAAAAAAAAAAAATACAGAAACTCCCCACGCACACACCTAACACACAACGCTCATTATAAGTTCATATTTCCAAAAAAGCTGTAAACAAAAAACCAAAAACGAAAACAATAGAAAACAAAAAAATACCCACAATTAGTTAACCGAAACTGTATGCCAAAATCCAAGGTTATCGCCTACCGGTGGCCGCCGCCTGGCCCTTCCTGGGCGCCCCCCTCGGCGGAGCACCCACCCTCGCACCGCTGCAGCTGCCCGTCTCCATGCCGGTGGCCCAGGCGCCGCCATCGGTTTCCGTTGGCGGCGGTGCGGCGGCCCAATCGGCATCGGCGGCACATGCCGCTGCAGCGGCCGCAGCCGCGGCCACGCCCATTATGCTGGCACCACGCCCACCGCACAACGCTGTCCAAGCAGCGACCACAGCAGCAGCAGCGCCACGGCGGAGGTACGACATCGATTGGGGAGAATGAAAAAACAAAAATATCCCCAGACTGGGGAATTTGGTGAAAGCGAGCGCCTAAAAGCAGAATTCAAAAAGATTGAAAAATATAACAAAAACTTACTTCGTTTATAAGCGAGCTGATTTTGCGTAAGAGTTTTCTTAATTTTAATAATAAATTCATTACTCAGACAAGCATAAAAGTTCTTCAGACAGTCTTCTATTAAAAAAATACCCCTTTGCTAATTATTACATCTTCTAATGTTGATTTTATGAAAATATTTCATTAAACATACCAAATACCCTTAAAGAAAAAGTTTAAAAATCATATCTGTTATGAATTATTTATTTATAATGATGAATTTTCAAATTGAGAACATATATTAATCATTTTTAAAACTTTCCTTCAAAAGAAGGCTCCAAAGAAATAAAAAATGAATTCCAAAACGCCAACCAAGCTCGCTTATAATCGATGAACCCATAAAATAATATATAAATCAAAAACACTGCAACAACAACATCAATAATTACAATTAGAACCGGAAACCAAGATCACAGAAACTATTTAGCTATGAGAATCAATCTTTGTACCATATTAATTACAAGTATAAATGTTTTGTTGTCTTGTTACTTTGGTTTACGCATTTTTTGGGTATGACTATTTGACTATCGATATACTCCATATAAATATTGCATATATATTTTTGCCATCCTTGAGATTGCATTTGTTTTAAAAGCCTAGGCACACACACACACACTCCCACACACAACACACACTCGATCGCAGTGATAATCTCTAGTGGCAACCACTTGAAACTGTAACCGTAACTGTTTCTAGCTGTTAAGTTTGGCAAGGAATCTTAGCTTTAACCTTAGACTAAAATCTATATCGTAATATATCGAATATATCGTATATATATATATATATATATCGTAACGTTTATCGGTAGAGCGAACATTTTGCCTCAGCAAGCATTTTTCTGTAAGGCGCCTTTCTCTTAGAGCATCACTTTCTAGCAACCATACTCTCTCTCTTTCGTATTGTCTCTATTTCTGCTCCTATATCCCCCCGTATATATATGTTCTTAAGTTCTATACCCTTTGGAGTTTGCACGATTTTTGGATTATTTTGTGTTTGTCTTTGCCACGTTTGCAAATTCAATTTGCCAATTAAAAATTCGCAAAGCAGAAATCGAATGGAATTTTAAAAATTGATTTTGCATGCCACCTTTTCACCACCATCACAGACAGAAAACATACCCCAGCATTTATTTTTCTCCTTTAATAATGCATTTTTCAAGAAATTAACACAGGATTTTTAGCGAAAATGTAGCTTCATAAATACGATGAGAATTTTCTTCTCCGAAAATTCTTCGTGTGCACACACAAATACCGATTTAACAAAAATTTGCATAAAAATATAGCAAATCGAATTTTTAATTGCACATTTGGCCAAACCAAATTTTTAATTTGTGGCTAAATGTTGCCCCAACCGCCACAATGATGTTCCCCCAAAATATTATTTTATACACATTTCAATTATGGTTTCTGCACTGATTTTCAATGATTTTCAAACGAAATGTCACAATGCAGGGCTAAGCCTATTGGCAAGCTTTATAGCCTTCGGTATTTGTGGTACTTTCTCACAAAATTTTTAATTTTTAGGCCTGCCATCATTATAAATTGAGTGATAAAACCGCTCGTGGAATTAATAAAAGTACAATTGAACTGCGGCTCTTGTGGTGCCATTTCACTTTAATGGCGATTTATTTTGGTTGCCGAAAGGGATATTTATTTAAATATTTATTTATTTGACGAAACAAAAGGGCAGCTTTTTCTCGCCTTTTCCTCCACGCTTTGCCTGCAATGTATCACCATAGCAGAACGAACAGCTTATTAGTTTCACTTATTAGCAAACGAGTTCTGCTTTCAGAAAGAATCTTCCTTTATAAGTTTCTTATTTTTGTTTTAAGTTTTAAACACACTTTACCCAGCATGTAAGCTCATATTTTCACCTTTCCCAGGAAAACCCATTCCATCCTCTACAAAAATCCTGAAACTATCATCTCCCCGCTATCTCTTTCCACTTTTAAGCACTTGGTAAATGTTCTTGCTAGTTTTAAATGTATTTCGAGAGGTGCAAGGGGTTAAACGAACAATTAAATGTATTTTATATATATATTTACCTTAATGCTTTTTAACACAAAATCTAAAACCCCAAAAACACACACACAGCAAAATGCAATGAGTTGTTGAAAAACGTCGCATACGGTACATATTTGGATGTATGTACTTATGCCTATATATCTACCACTGTACTAAAGATCGGTCTAATGTTTTTTCGTATTGTTGACAATGATATAATATCTCTATATATATACATATTATGCAAATATAAAATGCAACTACTGCGTAGCATTATTTCTTGGTAATTCAGTGTTCTATAATGTTAAGTATGTTTCGATATGAGAAAAACCCATTTACATATGTATGAGCCACACACACGTATGTCTTATGTATTGTTATATGTATATACCGAACCAACAACATCATCTCAGCGCTATAAAAATGAAATATGAAGCCTAGAATTTGCCATATATATACTATATATACTCTACTATATAAATATTTACTTATATATCAAAGAGAGAAAACTAACCGCATGCGTTTTATGTTCTTTTCTTTTCCTTTTTCTACTTTTTGCACACGAATAAACACATGAACATACATAAATATATAAACAAACATACACTGGTCAAACCAAAATATATAAACAAATACAAAATGTTGTGTCGAATCGTTGCAAAAAAAAAAAAAACAAAACAAAAAACCTATCTTAACCGATAAACTATCGCCAAAAACAAAACAAAAACGATTTTTGGTTGTTTCTTGCGTGGGTTAAAATTGCGATATGCGATATATCCTCCTGCAGCCGCCGTTGCCGCCGCCATGCGTGGAGTGGCCATCCAGCGCGGACATGTGGGCGTGGTCGGCGCCAGTCCCTATCATCATCCCCATCACCCGCACCATCATCTGCTAGCGGCCTCCGCCGCCGCCGCTCAGCAGCAGCAGCAACGCCAGGTGGCCGCCGCCGCCGTGGCTGCAGCAGCCGCCCAACAGCAGGTTGCCGCCCATCATCATCAGCAGCAGCAGCAGCAGCAGGCGCAGCAGCAGCAGGCCATCTCCGCCGTCGCTGCCGCCCAACAGCAACAGCAGCAGCAACAGCATCAGGTCTCGGTCTCCCAGCAGCAGCAACATCAGGTGGCCGCCGCCCAGCAGCAACATCAGCAGCAACAGCAACACCAACAGCAGCAGCAGCAGCAGCAACAACAACAGCAACAGGTCGCCGTCGCCCAGCAGCAACATGCAGCCGCAGCCGCCGCCGCCGCTGCAGCCGCCTCGCATCCGCATGCTGCCCATGTCCATGCCGCCCATGCCCACGCCCTTGGCCCCCAGTTGGCGCAACTCCAGGCCGTTGCCGTGCCCACCGCTGCCGCCCAGCAGCAACATTCGGCATTGCAGCAATCATTGGCCGCCGCCGCTGCCGCTGCAGCCGCTGCCCAGAATCAAGGAGGAGTTGCTGGTAATCCGAACGCTGCTGCCGCCGCCGCCGCCGCCTATGCCGCCCGTCTCTCAGCGGCGGGCGCCACACAATCACCGCAAACGGCCGCTGCTGCTGCGGCTGCTGCTTCCATGGCTGCGTCGGCTAATGCGGCCAACAGTGCTGCCGCCCTGCATGGATTCGCGCCGTAAGTAAGAGTTGAGCACTGAGCGCTGAGCGACTCCGGAACCGGAACCGGAAACGGAAACGGAAGCGGAAGCGCCGGAGTGGCCGCGACTCTTCGCCACTCGTCGTCACCCATCCGTTGTCGTCGCAAACCCGCGATTCCGCTGTAGTTTGTGTTTGCCGTAGATAGAAATGTCACCTTTAGTTTGTACTTTAGTTGGTTTCCGCTGCGCCATTTTGATTGATTTTGAATGTAGTTCTTAATCTTAGAGCACCTAATACCCATAGCCCATCAAACTACGTTTATACGCACGCCCTAGTTACGAATTATGTATATATATTTTCATGGATGTTGCACTTGAGCAGAGCTTTTTTGGGTTTTCAAGCTGATTTTATAGTTATAAAAATCCTTACTAAACAAAGCCACAGGTATATATGGATATCTAGTTTAATGCAAATAAATCCTACGGAAATGGATAACCTTAAAAATAAATTTGGTTTGATAAATACTTTATTTTCCAAGGCTTTTAGATCTTTTGTTTCTAAAACAAACACATTATTAGTTGGAATTTAAAAAATATAACACAAAATGTAACTAAATATTAAAGGAAAAATCTCCACTTCATTTTGTTTCGATATGTTTCATAAATATTATATATTAATCAAACTTAATAAAAAATTAAATATTAATTTTGCTCTGCAAGTAGCTGGCGTATAAACGTAGTAAAAAAATCCATAATTGTACAATACTTTCTTTAACTTTAGGGTTTCTTTTTGTGCTGGCTTACACAGAAAGAAATCTCTGTCATTTGTCATAATTTTAACCCGCAGCTGCTATTGTTTATATATATAGCTTATAGACTATGTTTTCCTACCATCTCTCTCTATCTCTCTGTGTTACTCTATCTGTCTCTCTATTCTTGTTGGTGAACAATGTTTTTTTAGCTATCTTGTGTGTGTAAAGTTTAATATCGCATATTAATGAACCTATAGTCTTTGACCTATTTTGTATAAATCAAGCAAATAGACGAACGAAAAAACTTGAATACAAAATTGCTAAATGCAAAAAAATATAAAACGCAGCAACCGATTAACGCACGCTAAACACACATCACATCCACGTAAAAAAAACCTATATATAACTCTATATATATATACACATTATATATATTTGATCATACCTCTTTTGACTAACAGCAGTGTTTTTTGGCATCGTTCAATTGACCTACTTATATATTTATGATTATTTTGGTTAAGGGACCTTACCTACCAACCGTCGATTGTATATTGTGTACCACTAGGCGTATGATGAATTTCGATTTAAAAATTTGAATTTGACTTGAAAGTGTCGCGCCCTGCCAGCGCCTTGCGTGCATGTTCTGCCCCCCCAAACATTACACTACATCTATATATCTCTCTCTCTCAATATAAATATATAGACCTTTGATTAACATATTCTTTTGTGGCTGCTCTCTCTCTCTACACACACACTCACCCCAACACACACCATATAGCGTATGAATGAATGCTCCATTAAATATTGTATACTTATAAAAAACACACATCAAAAACACACATGAAACAACAAGCAAGAAAAAAAATTAACTAATTAGCTAGGTGCATGAGTGTCTGTTCTGTCTAAAGATTAAATGCAAACAACCATATTTTTTTTCTTGGAAAGCAAGCAACAGCAAGACAATTTTCCGTAGTGTTCTTTTTTGGGGAATGGAGTATGGAATGTGATTGGTTAATATTGGTTGGTTGGCTAACATTGCTGCTAGTTAATCTCTATAAAATGAACGACAACCTCTATATATATAGTATAATCCTTATAATTTCCCTTTCTTTCGTTTCCTCTGTCTCAACATCTCCTCCTTCTCCACCACCAATCAGTTCGTCATCCAGTGGGGAATCAGGTCAGATCAGGTCAGTTTTTCACAGCACAGGCTATTAGTTAGTACTTACGATATATATAGGATAGGTTAGGGTTAGGGAACTCTCCCGTATAGGTGCCCAGAATTTACTAAATATATTTTCAGTTTCCCACAAAAACAATAAACCACATTTAATATTGAAAACTAAACATGAAAAAAGCCAAATGAAACCTGAACCGGAAGTGGATAAAGTTTATTTTATTGGCCCAATGAAATGACAAACAAAGCAAACTTATCCCGACCGAAACAAAAAAAAATCTTAAAAAACCACACAAGTGCGTTAAAAAAAATATATGAACCAAAAAGAACAATTTTTGAATTTTGCTTTTAAGTGACATAAATTGAGTGAGAGGGGAACCAAGGATCCGAAGGGTTTTTGGATTTCCTCTCACATCTATCTTTCTCTTCCACCTCTACTTCCCCAGATACTATGCCCCCGTATAACTATATGATTTATTAATAAATATATTTTTCTATTGTCTGTTCTTTCCCTCCCCAAAAAAAATCGCAGTGTATACTATGATCCCTTCTTAGCAGCCGCTGCTTCCGCTGATCCGAATCTACGCTTCCAGGTGAGTTTCATATGCAAAATAAATAATATAATACCAAACCGTATTACAACTAGGATATAGTATTATCATGTTAGGTTAGATTATAAGTTATATATTATAATGCTAAAACCCCCTAACTACTCTTACTCTCTTGTCATGACAAATATACATGAAAATATTATATAAATTTTACAGGCAGCCAAACCGGTCACTGAAGTTCCAGCCGCTCAGCCAGCCGCCATATTAAATGTAATAAAACTTTTGTCAAAACTAATATTGCTAACCTCACAAAACAAAACCACAAAATGAGAACTTTAAGAACGATTCAACTTTATAATTTGTATATTTTGATGATGGTAGCTTGTGCAAAACAAAACACCGATTGAGTTTTGACTTGGTTTTGGAACAATCGTTTTTACCCACTACTCTCTCATACCGTACTCTATATTTGTTTTATAAGTCGCCTTATTTGAATTTCCCTTATGCATTTGTCCACCATTATCCATTATCCCGAACTAACCAACGGCGAGTCCGTTTGTTTAATCGAACTTGGTAACAACACTTTATTTCCTTAATTTGTCGTAAGCCACTCGCTGGAGGCTTAGCTAAGCTTAATTAACTCAATGTCTGTTAACTGGAACTTGACTCTGAACACTTGTGTATAAGCTCTCTACTATTTATAACTGCATCCTTTGTTTTGGTTTGAGCATTTCCAAACTTGCCGATATTTTTGGTTTGGTTTTCTTTACAAACAATCAATTAGTGACCACAGAAGAAGGCTAAACGCTCTGGTTAATCCTATTCTTTCTGCTAGTTTCTTAATTTGTTATCACATATTCTTGCTTTCGCTGAATAATCTTATCTATATATATATATACATTTATGATATTCAATGCTGTAAACATTTTGTAATTACTACAAAACTCTTCTTTGGTTTATCTTTCACGACTGTCACAACAACATACTGAACAACGAATACTCAACAATTATCACAACAATTTCAATTCAACAACACTATTGAAAAACTATATAAAAACCATAAATTACA